ATAAATTCTAAAGTAATACTGGTCTTAAACCTAAAGCAAGGAAAAGTAAACTCATCTATATTTTAAGTGTGATTAACACTAGAAGGAGTGGTGTCTCAACCATTCCTAAAGGTTTTTGCAATACTCCCAAAGTATCTTCAAAATTTCTACTAAAATGTTTCCATCTAACTCTAGTTTTCTCTAATTTTCCATAATTCAAAATAAATGATTTCACCTTACTTTTCATTAAAAATATTCAACAGTAGGGTCTTGAAATATTTGCACACCAACGTTCATAGCAGAACTATTTTAAGAGCCAAGTGGCAGAAGCAACTAAACATCTATTGATGGATGAATGGATAAGCAAAATGGTTTTATATACATTGGAATATTATTCAGCCTTGAAAAGCAAGGAAATCTGGCTGCATGCTACAACATGGATAAACCTTGAAGACATTATGCTAAGTGAAACAAGCCAGTCGCAAAAGGACAAATACTGTATGCTTGCTTCTACTTATGTGAGGTATCTAAAGTGGTCAAAATTATAGAAACTGAAAATGGAATAGCAGTTACCAAGGACTGAGGGGAGGGGAAAAGGGGAAGTTATTGCTTAATGGGGATACAGAGTTTCAGATCTGCAAGTTGAAAAAGTTCTGGAGATCTCTTTCACAACAATGTGAATCTACTTAACAGTACTGAACTGTACACTTAAAGATGGTTAACATAGTAAATGTTACGTGTTTTTAACACAATAAAAAAATTCAACAGTGTTGTTTTTCATTACCAAGTACAAAGTATTTTAGTTATGTTAAGATTTACACATGTGCTCTAGCATGGGAATTTTTTTTAACTTTTTGAGATTATATAGGTTTTTGCTTTTCTTTAGACTCCTCTGCCCTCCACCTCTTTTTAAAATGAGAACAAAAATGACATGGAGAATATGTGTCTCAACTGAGTTAAGTAGGAATGTCAGCTCTACAAGAAACTCAATCCATAAAATTCTGGAATGAGATATTTCCTCAAGAAGCTGGAAGAAGAGTACTAAGAATACATTCTTCTCTTCATCAAGGCATAATCCTGGCTATAACTAAAAATATGAGAGCCCAATAGAAATATAATAACCCGAGTCTGAAAGACAGAATCAGACTCAAAGAATCGCAATGTTTAATTTCACTGAATGCTTCCACCAATGCACGATCCTGGAAGTAACATCTCACATTCAGAATTTAAATTGATACTTTTGTTTCTGATCCAGAAATCTTAAAAGAAAAAAATAAATGAATTGATTCTTAATAAGTATCTTCAAGTTTGTTTTAAATAATTTCCAAGCTGATACTTCAATTAAAAAAGACACACATCCTTGAAGGCAAGCCTCTTACTTTTATATCCCTAGAGAACAGCACAGTGCTTGTGACATAAAATGAGGTTAAATAAATGTTTTCTGGATAACTGAATAAGAATTCACACCTCATTTTTTTTAGCAATGTATGAAACTTTATTGAAACTACTTGTTTTCCCCACTTTTACATAATGAGCTACTGAGCATAACCAGAAGCAATCTGAAAACAAAGGGACCAGTTCCAGGATTTCATGTTCACCTTCACTCATTACCCTCTCCTGTTCCCAATCGCTGACTCCTCCTAATAACCCTCCACCCTACGGCAGCCATTCCAGACCTTCTTCAGTCTCAACATCCCCAATATCCCTCTCCACTTCCTCACTTTTGTGGTGCCTTGCTCTATTTTTCTGAGAAGACTGAAACCCATGATGTTCCTCTTCTTCACTTCACCTTTCCTGTTTTCACCCTGCTCTTCTCTGGACTTAGCAGACAAATCTTCTTCCTTTTTACCTGTGTTCTCTGTCACCACTTCCATTCTAGTAGAATCAGTCCCCTCACCTTCCTCCCTACCCTCCAACCCAACATGCCATGGGCTTTCACTTCATTTCACGCTAGCCTCACCTCACCAAATCTTCAAGAAATAATTCTAGGAAGGACAAACCAACCCAATTTGTATTAGTTCTTTCTCCTCTAAGCCCCCAGAGCACTTAATACATATAAAATTAAGTATTACATTCCACCTAATTGCACCCTACCTTGTGGATATATCTAACACTGTAATTCTTTTTATTTGTGTCTGTTTTTCCTGAAAACGGTATTTATAAGCTATTTTAGGGCAAGGACTGTCTTCTACCTCACTGAATGAGAGAGTCCCCTGTTTATAGTGTGCATTCGAATATTTTTTAATGATGGAGTGAAAATGTTTGCTCAAAAATGAACTTTTCTATGACTCTCATTATATTCACCATTGTATTGAATGTACTGATGCTTTCACTTGAATTTATTTAATGTATATATTTTTCTTAACCTTTGTTCACATCAGCCTTATCTAATCTAAGGCAAAGCATTCTCTCACAGAACATCTCTAATTTCTTTTTTCTGTTTCAATGTCAATTCGTCACCAAGGCTGGCACTTTCTATTACTAATATTCACCATTCTTAAATACCTAATTCCTGTCAGATACTATGCTAGATAATCTACACATATTATCTTTAATTTTCACAATAATCATGCATTTTAGGCACACTTACAACTTTGACTCTAGTGGTACAAAAGCAATTTACGTAACCAAAACGTTTGTACCCCTGTAATATTCTGAAATTAAAAAAAAAAAATCATACATTTTACAGAGGAGGAAACTGAGGCTCAAAGGGATTAATAAGTAGTTTGTCCTCCAGTCTTTCCCCTCTAACCTATGCCCCACCCTTCAGCCACAGTGATCTTCCTACAACCAAATCTGATCATGTTACTTCCCTGTCTAAAGTTTTTTAAGGCTTCCCACTGTTTTAAAGTCTGAACTCCTTAACTGGGCATTAAAGTGACCTGAAGGATCCCTCTTTTCTTACCACTCCTCATACCAGCTTCTTTCAGTTCTTGGACCATGCCATGCTTTCTCCTCTTGCCTCTGGACTTGGCGTGGAGTTTCCTTATTCATTCACTCAACCAATATGTATTAAGTGCCTGCTATGTACCTGGCATCGTACTTGCTGCTGGGCACATTATGGTACCCTCAGGGTACTTACAGTCTAATGGAAAAAACAAATAATAAAGAAGTAATTACAGATTGTGATAAGTAAAATGACTGAAGTAGGATACTACATTATAGAACATCTGGCGGGGGGCTGGGGGGGCGGAGTGACCTTGACTGCTTTAGATAGTTTAGTCTGGTAAGGTCTCGCAAGATTAAGAAACCAGCTTTGTGAAAAGCAGGAGGTGGGTGAGTGACAAGAGAAGCTGCTAAAGACATAAGCAGAGCTCAGACCAAGGATTTTTATAGGCCATGGTTAGGAGTTTTGGGTTTTACTCTAAGTGCAACAGAATTCATTGAAGAATTTTATATAACAGAGTGCTGCTGAATGGAGAAGGGATTGAAGGGGCATAAGACAGGAAACATATACAAGTCAGGAAGACACAGTAGTAGTTGAGAAATGTGGATGATTTAGACTACGGTCTGATAGTGAAGGAGGAAAAAAGTAGATTAGATGCAGAATTGAACTGACTTGCAAAGTCGTCAGCTGAAAGTAAGAGATGGAGAGAGGTTATAGAGAGTTTGGGGAATCCTTACTGGAGAAAGAAAGTAGACTTACTCCAGAAACAAAGATCAGAGGGATCTCAGGCCCATACTGAGTGAATATTCAAGAGTCTGGCAATTTTCATTTTATACTGTCATCAATTTGTGCAGGATTTTTCCACCAAAGTTCAGCCATATAGATGCAGGTTCAAAGAGGGCAAAAGGTTAGGTTCCTCTGGAGTAAAGGTTTTGTCAGAATAAAATGCAGAGAGGGACCGGAGAATAGTTATGTTCAAGGGAGAGCTTACAAAGCCAAACTATGGCGTGCATTTGAAACTGGATAAAGGCAAGCAGTGGACAGAAAATGGAATAATCAACTAATTGGAGGTATAGATTAAGCTCAAGAATTGTCTCCCTGGGAGAAAGGGTCGTTTAGTAGGAAGTTATAATTTGTTTTTTCTGCTCGGTATGGGTATCTCCCCCTCTAGGCAAACTATTTGATCTTCAAATACATCCATCCTGCACTTTTCTGTTCCCTGTCTTCCTGAGCTCCCAGCACTACTATCTGAGTTTGTCACTATCTCATCCAATCAGAAAGGCCCATCTCACACCTAATGGGTGACACAGTGCGCAGTCTAGGCGATAGGCAAGCGTGTAGCTCTGACTCCGGCGGTGCAAAGGCAATATATGTAATCTAAACGTTTGTACCCCTGTAATATTCTGAAACAAAAATGTATAAAACATTAAGTAAAACAAAAAGAAAGGCCCATCGCAAACTATACCCTCCTTAAAGAATTTATGTTTTCCCCACTGGGATCCTTCCTCCTAGCGACAGCCCTCACTGAGTGTGCACTACAGGTGGTACAGATCACGTAATCACATATTAAGTCATTCTTTTTCCTTTCTAGGCTCCTTTACTGGATGTTAAGTTCCTTGGGACATGGCATTGTTATAAACATTCAAAAATCTCTGGATCTCGTGGCAGTATCCAGATCAGTGCTATGCACGGAGCAATCGTTCAATAAACTAACAGTATCTTAGGCTCATGGGCCTCCAAACCTCACCTACTCGCTAAACCAGGGTCCACTGAAATCGAATCAAAGCTCTTAATTCCTGTGTGCAAAAGTCACAGATTACGTCCATTTACCTCAAGGGTGACTCCAGTTTCACAAGTTTAACTTTAATGCACTCTGACGTTCAAAACATCCCTGTAAGTGAAACAGCACTCGTATGATACAGGGATACGAGAACCGTACAACGACCAAAAATATGGATGCCACAATTCCAGAAATGCCACGTTCACTGGATAATACATAATTCTTCCTCATAGCCTAACGCAAGACCAGAGAAATCTGGGATGGGGATAAGGAAAACAGCCACACGAGCGGTACCAAGAGAATCAGTTGGCACCGGGTTTGCACGCAGGGTCTGACCTCAGCCTGGGCACCTACCTTCCTCCCGTCCAGCTCCAGTTGCAAGGGTCAGATGAGTGGTCGCCTCCGAGCCTGCAGCCATAGCTACCCGGAGGCAGGCTCCGCCGGAGCCCAAAGTGGAGCGGGGCTGGAGTGGGGTCAGAGAAGGGGGCCACACCGGGGTCTGAAGCGGCACCACAGGAAGGAGTCCCCGCTGCTCCTACAGGGTTCCCCCGGAAGCCCCGGCTCACGTGGAAGTCACGTGACGGATGCTGGGCGGGGCACGTAGCTTTGTTTTGATTCCCCGGTGTTGAAATGCTAGCACGTGGTCTGTGTTGTGGCGCTTTTTACCTTCCCCAGAACTTAAGTATTTTTTCATATAGTCTTAGCTTCGTTTCTGCTTCTCCTGGTTTTCTAGTCAGGTCCTTCCCTTCCGCTTTGGCTTTTCTCCACCCAACAGGATTGGACTTTTAGGGGTGGCTTGCTGTTTTGTGGGGCTCCGGGCGGTAGAGTGGGTCTCTGCGTTCGCTTACCCGGCAGTCGCTCTTACCAGTCTCGAACACTAGGGTAGCTCACGCTTCTCTTCCACCTCTCTTACCCTTCTGGCAGCAACGTGACTCCATGTGGTTTTCGTGGCTGCTGGGAATACGAACCTCACGCAAAATATCCTTTGCATTCCCTGTGACTCATTTCCCGACCCAGGCAAGCCGTGGGTCGCCAGACTGCTTGACTTAGGTTTTCAAGAACACTGATCGACAGCTGTCAGGGCTTCTGGATTTGTACATCAAAATAAACAAACAGCTGCCTGATGAAGAGATTAACAACCTCCACCTTTTTCCTTGTTTACTCTTTGGTCAAAATCATAGTAAGTGGAGACACTAAAATTTTAGTTTCGTTAAAAAAACCCATAGTAACTGAACAGGTCACTTTAGGACAAAAATCTTCCAACCTTAACATATCTTTATTGCTCGCCTACTATTTCAAAATGGGTAGAAGGATTGTATTTTTTGTGTATATGAATGAAAGTGGCTAGTTTATAATCTCGTTGGATATGTAAGACAAAAAAACTAAACGAGGCAGTACTAACTGTACATAGAAAACAAACGATTTTCATGAGACAATCCCTCGAGACTCCACTACACTTCAATCTCACCTTATTAAGTGACCACTTGGGCACTTCCTCCAACAACCCCAGGGTTCGTTGTCCAACCTCCTCTAACACAGTCTTTCTAGGAGTTCCCTTTTACCCGGCTCAGGCGCGCTCTTCCCTGTGATTTCAAGTCCTCTCTACCCTCCTCCGGGACCCCGGATCCTCTCCTCCCGCCAGCGTTTCCCGGCCACCGCGGCAGGGAGGTGGGATCCCCAGCTTACTCGCAACCTGCCCCGCCTCCCCGCCGGCGGCTGGGGCCGCGCAGGCGCACCAGGCGCGGCCGGGAGGCTGAGGGCGACCACAGCAACCTCCGCCTCCTGCTGCTGCGGCCACTTCTGCGCTGGGCTGGTCGGCGGTGACCGGGACTGCGCCGGGCGGGGGCCCAGCGGGCGGCGGGTCGCCATGGGCTCGGGCTGGAGCAGCGAGGAGGAGCGGCAGCCGCTGCTGGGGCCCGGGCTCGGGCCTGCGCCGGGAGCTGCCTGGAGAAACCGGGAGGCGGCGGCGGCGGCGGCGCTGCCTGCGGCGGTCCCGGGTCCCGGACGGGTGTACGGGCGCCGCTGGCTGGTGCTGCTCCTCTTCTCGCTGCTCGCGTTCGCGCAGGGCCTGGTCTGGAACACCTGGGGCCCCATCCAGAACTCGGCGCGCCAGGCCTACGGCTTCTCCAGCTGGGACATCGCGCTGCTCGTGCTTTGGGGGCCCATCGGCTTCCTTCCCTGCTTCGCGTTCATGTGGCTCCTGGACAAGAGAGGTGAGGGGTCAGGAAGCGCCGGCCGGTGCTGTCACTCCTGGGGAGCCGGCGCCAGCCTGCGCTTCAGGCCTGCCAGCCGCCTCCCTTGGCTTCGTGTTAGGGGTTGTGTGAGGTGACGGAATGTTGCTGGCATCCCATTCGTGACTTAGGAACCCTGCGTCCCCAAAGCGACAACTATGGGAAGGCTGCTTTGCAAATATTTGTGTTTTTATCAAGGCCCTTTATGCAACATCAGGGATTTAAGCGATCTCGAAATGTTCAAGTTTGTGCATGTTGTGGACATCAGAGCGTCCTTATGCACGTGCTGTGTATGTTATTTACACCTGACAAAAATGACTAATGCTTTGACTTCAAAGATGTTTGGGAATGTTGAGGGTGAGAGGTCAGAAAATAGATTGATGATGCCCAGGTGTAAGGAAGTTATGAGTTGGCTTTGTGTAATAGGTGACTCCAGCCCAGGAAGGGATATGGGGAAACTCAGGTCTGATGCTTTGGTTTCTGGAAGGTGGTGCACGGCAGCTTTAAAATGTGTGTAAGTGACTAGGTGGCTTTTTCAGTTGAGATTTATGACTCTCAGGTAAAGCTTGCAGGTGAATGAAGACTCTCTTTCATAGAGGGGTACTCTGGACATCTCACTTTTCCAGTTACCAGTGCGATTCTGTGAGGAGGGGAAAAAAAGGTCACAGGGCTGAGAATCAAGGCATTAAATTATACCACATAGGCCGGGCACGGTGGCTCACACCTGTAATCCTAGCACTCTGGGAGGCCGAGGCGGGCGGATTGTTTGAGCTCAGGAGTTCGAGACCAGCCTGAGCAAGAGCGAGACCCCCGTCTCTACTTAAAAAAAAATAGAAATAAATTATCTGGACAACTAAAAATATATAGAAAAAATTAGCCAGACATGGTGGCGCATGCCTGTAGTCCCAGCTACTCGGGAGGCTGAGGCAGGAGGATCGCTTGAGCCCAGGAGTTTGAGGTTGCTGTGAGCTAGGCTAACGCCACGGCACTCACTCTAGCCAGGGCAGCAGAGTGAGACTCTGTCTCAAAAAAAAAAAAAAAAAATTATACTACATAAATATGGGCGAATGATTGGTAGTGATGGTCTACCTTCAAGATTTTAGCTTTATTGGTTGGATAATGTTTGAGAACGACTTTTTGTAGTTTGTTTTCAGCCTTTTATATGTTTTGTTGAAATAGTTTCTTTAGTCAGATTTGGAAAGTTGTCTTAGTCTGCTGAAGCTGCTTTAACAAAATATCATAAACTGGGTAGCTTATAAAAAACAGACAATTCTTTCTCACTGTTGGGGAGCCTGGGAATTCCAAGACGAAGGCTCAGGCAGAATCAGTATCTGGTGAGAGTCTGCTTTTTACAGAGTGGTCTTTTCCTTGTACTCACATAGAGGAAGGAGCAAGGAATCTCTCTGAGGTCTCTTACAAGGGCATTAGTACCAGTTATGAGGGATCCACCCTCATAACCTAATCACCTCGCAAAGACCCCCACCTCCTTATTCCATCACTTTAGGGGTTAGGATTTCAAAATATAAATTTGAGGGGGACACAAACATTCAGACCATAGCAAAAGTCCAGTGTAGGTAAGAATAGAACTGTAATTGTTGGGCACATCGTTAGCACCCATGTGATTTGTTATTAAGAGAATAAAAAAGCAGGATGATGTTAACAGCTATGTTTCCTCCTCCCCTCCTGACAGTTCCTTCATAGGAATCCATATGAAAAAGACTAAGGAATTGCTCATTGTGAATTCATTAATGATCAACAATGTAATGTGGCTGCTAAAAGAGAGGATGGTTTTAGGCATAGAAGCGTAGTGTCCAAAACAAGAAGAGAAACGGTTTGAAATGCTCTACATTACTCTTCAGTTCTTTGCATTGATCTTGAGAAGGCCATTTGACAAACTGAAGTACTTTAAAGGTTGTGTGGTGAGAATGATAAAGGGCATAAACATCATGAGATGAAGGGAACTGGTTATGTCAAGCTTCAAAAAGAAACTTGAGAAGAATGTAGAATATGTGAAGATCAAGTAAAAGAGGAATTAGACTAATGTGTAGTTCTAGAAGGAAGAACTAGACTGAGTGACGTTACAAAGGAATATAACTCAAAGCAATACAAGGAAGAACCTTTCTAACAATTAAAGATATCCAGCCCTGGAAGGGTGTGTCTTGACTGGTGGAGAACTTCCAGGTAGAATATGAACTTACGCAGAGGATGTGTGCTAGGTGCTGAGGAAGGGCTTCTTGTACTGAATGGAGATTTTCTTTTTTGGATTTTTGTTGTTGTTGTTTACATTTTAATAAAATATAGACTTTATTTGAGTTTCACTAGTTTTTCCAACTAATGTCTTTTTTTTTTTTTTTTCCTCTTCCAAGATTCAGCCTAGGGTCCCCTGTTGGATTTAGCTGTCATTTCTTCTTAGTCTCCTTCACTGTGTGACAATTCCTTGGTCATTCCTTAACAAGATTGGCTAAATTTAGGGGAAAATGCTGTTTCGTAGTTTCTTTTTATTTTTCAATATCGTTTCCAAAATTTAGCCCACCTTGTTTTTATCATAGAAAAATGTTAATTTTTGCCCTTATTATAATTGGATCTAATATCCATTGCCAGATAAATTAGAAACTACCTATTTATAAAATAAGTAACTTAGTTCTTTCATAGTTTCTGTGACTATTTGGTGAATTCAATTTTATATTTTCCATTGGTTGAAGCAATAAAAAATAAATTTAAAAATTCTCTGTTTTAGGAGGTAGTTTTCATTTTCAGTAGAAGATAGCAAATACACTTACTTTCTTTTTTTATTTTTTGTAGAGACAGGATCTTGCTATATTGCCCAAGCTGGCCTCAGTGTCCTGGCCTCAAGCGATCCTCCTGCCTTGGCTTCTCAAAGTGCTAGAATTACAGATGTGAGCCACCATGCCCAGCCTAAAGCTAATACACTTTCATATGTTGGCTGTCTTGCTGCAGTTGTCCTATCTGCACTCATAGAAAACAAGTTCTTGGCCTCCCTAGGTACTGAAATATGTTGCTCCCTAGGGAATATTTAGTTGTCTAGCCTTCATGCTGCTGTGGGCCCCTCCCAACTTAGCATACATAGAAGACCAATTATCTTCCTAAGATGGGTTTTGTACCTTCCCATCCCTTTTCATTTACCGGCAAGCAGACAGGAGAGCCAAGAGCAAGTGTGCCCTGGAAGCAACTGAGGAAAGTTCCAAGGAGATAGCAACCAAATGTGTGCTATGCACTGAGGATATAACTTTCACAGAACCCCATTCTAGTGAGGAGATCCAGGCAGGAAACAATAAAATTAAATATTTAGTATGTCAGGTGGTGTTAAATGCTTTGGAGAAAAATAAAGGAGGGTAATGGAGAATGGGAATGTGATAGGGTGGTATTATACTTTATATAGCATGTCGGGGAAGGCCTCACTGTTAAAGTGTGTTTGAGCAAACACCTGAAGGAGTAAGGACACCTGACATGTCAGTTCTGGAGGGGACCGTTTTAGGCAAAAGGAATAGCTAAGACAAAGGTTCTAAACTTGTTTGGCATATCCAAGAAAGAATAGTGAGGCCTGTTGGCTGGAATAGAGCCAGTGAGACACTGGTAGGAGATGAGGTCAGAGAGGTAGTAGGAGACTGGGTCATACAGGGCCTTATAAGCCATTGTAAGGATGTTGGCCATTAAGGAGTGAGGAAGGCTTTGAGCAGAAGAGTAAAATGATGACTCTTCTATTACCTTGAGAACCGGGAGACCAGTTAGGCTAGTAGAATAACCCAGATGGGAGCTGATTGTGGTTTCCAACCAGGGTGATAGTAATGGAGGATTTGAGAAGTGGTTAGATTGCAGATATATGTTGAAAGTAGACTCATCATTATTTGTTGATTGATCAGATGTGGGGTTTGAAGGAGGGAGAGGAGTCTAAGATGTTTCTCAACTTTTTGGTATTAGTAATTGGGAAAAAGCATAGAGTTTCAGTTTATTGAGATGTGGAAGATTGTGGAAGGAGCATTTTGGGAGCAGATGGCATGAAGGTCAGGGATAAGAAATGCCTATTAGATATCCAAGTAGACAAATTAAACTATTGGTTGGATGTACAAGTAAGTTGTTCAGGGAGAGGTCTGCACAATAAATTTGGGAGTTGTCAGCCTATGATGGTATTTAAAGCCATGGGGCTGGATAAGATCACCTGTGGAGAGGGGTGTAGTTTCGCCAGAGAAGAGGACTGAGCCATGGGGCATTTCAGCATTTAGAGGTTGGGGAGATAAGAAAGAACCAGCTTGTGAGGGCTGAGAATAGAGCCTTGGATTGCTGTGGAGATCTTTGGTGTCCTTTAAAACAATGATCTCACTGGAGTGGTGTAGAGAGTTCAAAATTAAATGTAAGGAGAGAAATTGGTGATAGTGAATGTAGACATTTCTTTCAAGAAGTTATACCATAAAGGGCAGCAAGAGAAATGGGGCTGTAGCCAGAGGAAATGTGGCCACTGAGGTTTGTTTTTTTTTTTTAAAGTAAGTGATATTAAAGCATATCGTTGTAATGCAGTATCCTAATGTATCCAATAAAAGGGGGAAATTGATGATGCTAGAGAGAGAGGGAGGAACCGCTGTAGCCATGTCCTTGAGTAGGCAGGATGGAATGCAGTCCTCTAGAGCACTGGTAGACAAGTTGGCCTTAGATAGAAGCATTGACAGCTAATTCTTCAGTAGTAACAGAAGAAAAGTATACAGATACAGATGCAGATGGTGGGTAGTAAGAGCTATGGATGTTATCTTTGCTTGTATTTCTCAGAAAATAGGAAACAATGATCACCTGACAAGTGAGGATAGGGGAGCAGTTATTGGAGAGAGGATAAGTTATGAAACTATTTTCTAGGAAAATGGAAAACACTTGGACTAGGAAATTGTAGTAGGATTGTTGAGCAGCATGAAGGGCCTGCTTTAAGTGATTGATCATTAATTTGAAGTGAGACCAGTCAGCATGGTTGTATGTTT